ATAATGAAAATGAAGATGAAGATGAAGATGTTAATGAAGATGAAGAAGAAATTTCAAGATTAGGCAAAGTTAGTTTAATATACCTGCTAGAACGATTGGTTAACTTGGATGAAGGGTAAAGGAAGGAATGAAGGAAGGAAGGAAGGAAAGGAAGGAAAGGAAGGGTCAGGGGTCAGAGGGCACGAACGCGACGGCTATTGAGCTATTACACGCTTAAACGGACCGACCCGATTCCCTCGACGTGTACGTACCCTCGACCTCGAATCACCCGAGGCTAAAATACATCAGAGTGAAAGAGAGAAAACTGGAGAAATCCAAGAGAGAGTAAGAGAGAGAGAGAGAGAGATTTGGTGAAACAGTCTGTTTGCTTGTTACCAAAGAAAAAGGTCAATGAACTTTAAAATGAGTCTAAATGTCTGTGTGTGTGTGTGTGTGTGTGTGTGTGATTATAATTGTTAAATTATAGGAGAGAAAAGTTAATGTTCTCTTTTTTTTGGTTTCAACAAGAGAAAAAGACTCATCTTATCTGTCTGGGTTAATTTTCCACTTCAAACGAGATGAGATTCTTTTTCAGATTCTTTTGATAAGGGGTTTTTTCTTTTTATTGCAGTTTCTATTAATACCTACGAATTAACTCAAACCTCTCGAATGGGTTTGATCGTACGATGGATAAAGTAATAAATTATTCTCTTAATGAATTCGTAATGTAAAATGACGAGTAAAAAATTAATATAATATATCTATATAATATAATTTAATAAAAATAGTAATTTATCTTTTTGTTTTCTTAACTATAATAAATGCAATTTATTGCATTAATTTGCATAAAAGATAATTTAATGCAAATATATAATAAATATATAAATATATTATAATTATGTTATAAAGGGGAATATTTCTATTTCTTTTTTGTTAATTTAAATATTATAAAATAAAAGGAAGAAAAGAATTAATAAAACAAAATAAAAATAAAAATAAAAAAGAAGAAGTCATTAAAAATTATTGTCGAAATATTTTCTCTCTCTCTCTCTCTTTTGATGATAGTAAAGGGGAATATATTTCTCTTTTTTTTTGTTAATTTAAATATTATAAAATAAGAGGGGAATGGAGGGAGAAAATAAAAAAAATAAAATGATAAAAAAATTGGGGAAAAAAAAGAAGACAGCTTTAATTGCACGAACGTTAACGAGATTCGCGCGATTATCTTTTCAAGCGTTTCTGATTTAATTGAAAATATCGGTAGGGATATCCTAAAATCTGGTGTGTTGCCTTTGCCGCCATTAATACGCGAAACGCAATGCACAAACGCAATGCAACGGAAACGCAATTTTCTCCATTAAAATCGACGCCGACGTACCTGTCTTTATGTGTGTGTGTGAGTGTGTGTGTGTGTGTGAGAGAAAGAGAGAGAGAGAGAGACCAATCGAGCTCGGCTTTTAAACGGTCGACGTATTAATGGCAATTTGGGAAAATTGTGTTTGCTTCCCGCGTATATGTCTATCTATCTATATCTATCTATCTATCTATCTTTGTAATTTTATCTTTTTTTTTTCCACCCCTTTTATTTTATTTCATTTCATTTGATTTTGATTTTAATTTTATTTCATTTAGTTTTGATGATTTTGATTTTGTGTTATATTTTATTTTTATTTCATTTAATTTTGATTTTTATTTTCTATACGTATAATTATATTTTATTTCATTCGATTATATTATTTATTTAATATTTTTATTTTTATTGTCCGTATTGTCGTAACGAATAAAATTGTACAGGATGATCCTTCCTATATTTTTCGTGGTATTTTTTTGGATGTCGTTTTATTTTGTTGTGCTGTCTAGAGAGGGTAAAAACGTTACGATTTCCATTCAACCTATCTCGAATTATATCGAGAGAAGATAATGGCAAGAAAAAGAATAAGAAAAAGAAGTAAACGAAATCGTAGCTGGCAATCGCAAGCTTACGCCACTGTCAGAACCTCCAAAACGTAGGGAGAAGTAAAAGTGTCGCGAGCTAGCAGCAGTAGCAGCAGCAGCAGTAGAAGTAGAAGCAGAAGCAGAAGCAGAAGCAGCACGGGGCTTGGGTTATTTCACGGTCCACTCGGTTCACTCGCACCCCTTACGGACGACGGTGACGGGGAACCCCCTTTTCGAAATCCACCCCTAAGAATTAATTCGAGAGAATCGTCCGGCGAGCGACACCCCCAACCCACACCCAACCCCAACTCCAACTCCACTTTCTTCCACCACCATTTCCCATTTCACCCAAACCCCCGTTTCCACCCCCTTCCTTCCTTCCTTCCTTCCTTCCTTTCTTTCTTTTCTTTTCTTTTCTCTTCTTCTTCTTCTTCTTCTTCTTCTCCAACGGGAGATCAGTCGAGATTTGTGCTTCCCCATCAAATCTTTCTTTTTCTTTTTCTTTTTCTTCTTTTGCTTTCTTTCACACCAACGCTTTAACGTTTTTTAGGATAAAGGAAAGAAAGTAAATTGTGGCCTGATGTTAATGTTAAAGTATAGAATTTAAGGGTTATTTATCTAATCATTTAAATAATACTATTAACAATAGGGTAGTTTAAAGAAAAAAACATATAAAAAAAAAAGGTATTTTATATTATACACTTTAACTAATTATTTTAGAAAATAATTATGATGCACTATTCACAATTAGATGATTAATAGTTAAAGTATGAGATTACAATTATACAGTATGTTTATCTTTTTACAATAATATTCATAGTTATTACCATAATCATATTTCCATGTAATTTAAAAAATCAATGTTCTGTATTTACATTTCAATTTAATACTTCAACTATTAGCTTCTCACGTGAATTCTTATATTATCTAATTAAGTAACCTAACCTTTTCTTTTTTCATATTATACTTTGATCAGTTATTATTATTTATTTCATAATGAAATTCATCATTTTATGAATTAATCTCACATATATACAGTTTCATTTATCATATTTGAAACATTAACCTTCGCTTACCACCCCCTTCTCGGAGTAACACGCTTACCACACCTGGGTCCTTTGGACCCGGGCGAGAAGAATCATTATAAAAAAGAAACTATTGCATAGATTTACTTCAACAATTTTTTTTGAAACTTCTTTAAAACTTACTTAAAAAGACTATATAGGTTTGATAGCTTTATATTATATTTAAATATGTTTAAAAAATTACCAAAGTTGAACAATTGAGAAAAATGACGACTCATGTTGCAAAAAAAGGTCTGGTG